ATATATATATATATATATATATATGTTTGTTTTGAGGTTTCCGCGGGGGCTATATGTGCTGTCACTATTTTTCCGGGTTTGACTCCGCGTTGTAAAATGCTAATTTTCTTGAAAACCATTGTTTTGGCGACGTTTCGGCAAGGTCTCACTTGCCATTCTCAAGCCTGGTGGATCTACTTCTAGTGGACCAGTGTGGACCAGTACTAATCGAGTAACGACGAGAAGTAGATCCACCAGGCTTGAGAATGGCAAGTGAGACCTTGCCGAAACGTCGCCAATACAATGGTTTTCAAGAAAACCAGCATTTTACAACGCGGAGTCAAACCCGAAAAAACAGTGACAGCATATATATATATATATATATATATATATATATATATATATATATATATATATGTGTGTGTGTGTGTGTGTGTGTGTGTGTTCCGAAAGATTTCCGCATTACTCCAGTCGTTAGAGATGAAAATTCCACTCAACCTCTAAAAATCATACGAACAAACTGAATTTTGCCAAGAATATTAATTTTGGAACCCCAAAGAAGATGCAAAAAAGACGACCACTTTTACTCTAAGATTTCCAGCTAAAACCTCCGTCGTAGGGGGGTCAAAACACCCGTAAAATTGATTTAATGAAAATCTGTATATTGTAGATAAAAATGTAGATGAGACAATTCTAAACAAAAATGTTTATTATCACTTTTTGTGTAGAATAAACTGTTCTCTCAGAAACAACACTTGAAGCGACAGTCGATTTTGAATGTGTGAAAAATGTTTTTTTAGCACTTTTTGTGTAGAGCAAACCATTCTCCCAAAGACAACGCTTGAAGCGACCGTCGATTTTAAATGTAAGTCACGTGCGCGAAATCAATGTTCAATAAAATTTATATCAGCTCGACTGTAAAAATTCGATACCTTTTGATCTAAGTTATCGACAAAAATTAAGATGGCTTTTAAAGATAAAGAGTGGAGCTTTCGTATGCAGGTTTTGTATTTTGCTGCGAATAAACTTATTTTTTAAAAAGGTGTTAAATACATTCATAAACATGGAGCGATTTTTACAATTTTTATGATTCTCATCAGATTAATACAATATATTATCTGAAGCATTTGAAATATGCTTGAAAAGCCTTGAATATAAAATTTCACATAATATATAATCTAAAACGTTTAAAAGTTTTTTTTTTCAATTAAACTAGTCCATTTTTCAAAAGAACCAAGTTCTGCTATAAACTACACCTAAAACCGGTGGGTTTTTGGAGGCATTTTCCGTGACGTACAATCGTTTGAAATGTAAATTCTGAGTTTTTTTATTTATATTTCAAATACCTCATCTTTGTTACCACAACTCGCAATTGATATTTTAGTTCATATGTTTGAAAGACTAGACTAGACTACCAAAAGGCATTTGATTGTGTAAAGTGGGAAGTTCTCTGGACAGTTCTTCATGAGATGGAAGTTCCAGATCATTTGGCAATATTAATTAAAAACTTATACGAAGATAACTCAGTTAAAATAAGAATTGAAAACCAGCAATCTGATACCTTCAAAACCAGCAGAGGTGTACGACAAGGCTGCATACTATCTCCAGACCTGTTCAATTTATATGGAGAATACATAATGAGGAACGCACTCGATGGATGGAGAGGCGACATCTCCATTGCAGGGAAAAAGATCTCAAACTTAAGATTCGCAGACGATACAACACTGATAGCAACATCTGAAGAGGAGATGTCGAGACTGATAAAGAGAGTAGAAACCGAAAGCAACAAGTGTGGGCTCAAGATTAATAATCAGAAAACAAAAATCATGATTGTGGACCACGCGAATATCCTCCAAACAACAGGCGCCCTAAATCAATTCGAGAAAGTAGACGAGTTCACGTATCTAGGATCTTCCTTAAGCAATGCAGCCTCCTGCCATACGGAAATTCGCAGAAGAATAGGAATGGCCAAGAACGCGATGAGTCGACTGTCAAAAATATGGAAGGACCGCTCTTTGTCCAAAAAACTCAAAATGAGACTGGTAGGGACACTCGTTTTTTCAATCTTTAGTTACGGTGCCGAAACATGGACAATAAAATCAGAGGATAGGAAAAGGATTGACGCATTCGAAATGTGGTGCTGTAGACAAATGCTACGCGTCTCGTGGACGGAGCACAGATCCAATCAGTCGATTCTTGAAGAGCTAAACATTCAGACCAGACTCTCCTCTCAGTGTCTTGCAAATATTTTAAAGTTTTTTGGCCACATTGCGAGAAGAGACAATGACAACTTAGAAAGACTAATTGTGTGCGGAAACGTAGAACGACGTAGAGGCCGAGGACGCTCACCTATTCGATGGTCAGATCAAGTACAGAAAGCCACTGGAGAGACGTTTTCCGAGTCCACGAGAGCAGCCCAAAATCGCAAGAGATGGAGAGAATTGACAGCCCGCATTGTAGGGAATCACGATCCTCAGCAATGAGGAAACGACAAGGGAGAGATGTTTGAAAGATTGATTTCTAAAAATGAAAATTTTACTACGACTGTTTAATAAAAGTGATCAATTTCCAACTTGTCAATGAAAAATAGCAAAAATCGCGCAACGTTTAAACTTAGTTTATTAGCGGCAAAATACAAAAACTGGATAAGAAACCTGCACTTTGTACCTTTAAAATTCATCTAGATTTTTGTCGATAGAACACCTATGTTAAATGATATCGAATTTTTACCGTCGAACTGATACAAATTTCATTGAACATTGATTTCGCGCACGTTTGCTCTACACAAGTGCTAATAAACCTTTTTGGTTAAGAATTATGTCAGCTACATTTTTATTTAAAACATTTTTATACGGCATACAGATTCTTGGTAAATCGTTATTTAGCGTTTTTACTCCCCTAGGAGGGTTTTTTTGCATCTTTCTTGGGGTCCCAAAATTATTATTCTTTGCAAAATTCAGCTTGTTATTTTATGCTATATTTTTTTTAACTAAACTATATTTTTTTATGCTGCTGATTACCGTAAAGTTTATTGAAGCCGAGCAAACCAAATTGTTTTTTATTTAACATCTCGGCTGCAAGCGTTATTGAAATTTATTTAATATAAATTCCAAATAAACAAAGGTAGTTATTATTATAGAGTTGATATAATGGAGGTAGTATAATAGAAATATTATAAACATCAATATAGGAAAATATTGTTTTGCTTTTTGATACCACATTATTTACACACGATCGTTAATAAAATATTCTCTTCATATAACAATCAAACTAAAGCTAAACTAAATTATTAATCAGTTAAATACATAAATACTATCTTGCATTTTTACACTGTGCAAATCTAAAGGCATCTCCCAAATTTTTGCTTGAGCCATAAAACTTAACACATTTTTGTGTTACTAAACTAAAATACCCACTTATAAGTTAAATGATATTTTGATATTTTAGTAACATAATCGATACAAATAGCGAACGTGTTACTTTGGAAATAATTCTAAATGAATATTATGACAAATATTACATGATTTTAAATGTCGAAACTACGGCCTCATGTACAACTTATGAGAATTCCGATATAGGGGTTAAAAATGCCCTTAAAATGATTATGAATCTCATATACAAGAAAAGAACTTAAGCAGAAAAGAAAAAAATGCAGACAAGAGCAATATTGGTAACTTATTTCACGTAGCTTGTTTCGATTTACGAGCAGCTCTACCTCTTCCTAAAGGTGACGTTTCAGCTTTTTATTATAAGTTTCGTTTAAATTGATACAATTTTACAATCTGTAGCCTTTAACATAAAAACTGTCTCCTGTAGAATGCTATATTTTTCATAAAGGAGAGGGGAATCGTGGATCTATTAAAATAGATTCTTGCCTGCTTGAATATTAAAAAACTCTGAAACTTGGAAGTAGTTTTCTTTTCCGATAGCTGTAGAGGTCAAGGCAAAAATAAATGTATTGTAACCACTTTTTTGTATGCCGTTACTAATTTCAAAATAAAAAGTATCACCCTTAAATTTTTTGAAGTGGGACACGGTGAAAACGAAGGTGACAGTAGCCATTTCATAATTGAAAAATCCATTAAAAGAGTTTTAAAATCTGGTCCCATTTTCCTACCAGCTCAATACGGAGCAATAATAAGTACTGGCAGAAAAACGGGAACTACGTTTAAAGACAATGAAATGGCTCATAATGAGTTTGTTCTCCGCCATTAAATCCGCCATTTAATATTAATAATAAGGGGGAAAAGTTTAATTTTAATGATATAGTTATGACCAAAGTGGACAAAATTACCCGGACCGTTATTTTTACAAAACTTCTTATACCAGCACATAATTTAAAGAAGTTATAACTAGAAATAATAAAACAAGGTTCGGAATAACTAATCTACAAAATTATGAGCTATCCCCAGCATATTTGAATAGTGTTAAAATTAGTAAGAAAAAGCCTCGTCCAGAATAAATGTATACTACCTATTCATGCTTCGTTCTTCAATGCCTTGAATTATAAGAACACAGAATAAAAATCATTGTAAAATTGTCTTTCATTTCGAATTTATCGGATATTTTTGGTTTTAAGTTTTGATTTTGTATACCTCACAGTTTTTAAATAATAATTAGATGAGGGTGCGAGGGTGAGATGCAGGTATTACTGGCAATGAAGAAGTAGATATGGGAGCCAAAAGTACTCTTAACACTTAAATAGAAGCAACGATTGAAAGTAATATTGATTAATTGTCACTAATAAAGAAGCATGCCAGGAATAAATGAAAAGCTTTAAATAAAAGTATTACTAATTTTCACACCAGTCACTATTATTCAATTCATCTAACTCTGCCCAATAGCATTCCTCACCTAATCTTTTCTCCTTTCAAATCATTTGCTTTCACTACTACTAGAATTAAAATTTATGATGGTTGCTTTCAGGTCCATCTATTTAAAATATGAGTATTTACAAGCCTATAATTGTGAGTGTAGCAACACCTCAGTGGGAGACTTAAATGACATATTTTCGAATGTACCAAACACATGGGATCATCCACAGAATTATATAAATTGTACAAACTACACATTGCGGGTTCAGTTAATATATCATGTTTAATTGCCTCTTTCAACAAATCAGTGTATGATTTTTTAATTGATTTTCTCAGGAAAACAAAAATAAATATTTAGCATAAACCGCTTTAAGATTTTTGAGGAAGTCACTAAAATACAATTATATGCACAAGTACATACTATTTAAAAACAGGTACGTACATGTAAGTAGTACGTACAATTTAGGTACATTCAATTTTAAGTCAGTAATATTTCATTAATAAGATCTGTGACTAATGAACATAATTTGAAGCCAAACCTCTCCACACATACACTTGCAAACGTATCAATTATATTATAATTTACAATATAAAATAAAATATTTTTATATGAAGCAGTATTCAAAATAGAATTTACCACTAATATTAAGATTAAACCAAATTTTATACAGAGTAATTACTATAGTTTCTCAATACTAAAATTTAGAGCACTTTGTTAAGCTTTTTTCTGGGTTTTCTCAGGATTAGAATTAGTAATTTTGTTCTTCAGGAAAAGTGAATTTCAGTGTCAGTATTTAATGTTATAAGTAAGTTAAAACTGATTTGCCAATATTATCAAATATACTCTCTTCCAATAAATTCCTCTAAAAACGCACCTCAACAATACGGACACTACTCTGCCCTGCTAAGCAAATGGGCAGTATCTGCAAAATTTTCACTTTAGAGTTATGCAGATCTATGTTTTAAATTGTGGTGAACCCATTGAAATAAATAGAAAAGCAGTATCTACAATGGTTATTGAGATATAGCATATATCATAAGCAGTAAGTACAAGGTACAATACCTATTTCTAAGCAGAAGAGCAGCAAATACAGTGTACCAATCAAGAAAGCAGTATCTGACTGCAGTTACTGCTTTTATCCTTAGCTTGATGTAGATACTGCCGATTTGCTTGGCATTGCCTCCCAGCTGTTTCATGTTACTGCCGTCCTAGTGAGTTTGAGCTTATTCTTCTTATTGACAGTTGAGATTATATTTACAAACTATTTTTTAAGTAATATTTCATTGTCATTTTTGTATTATTAAAATGAGTAAAAGTTTGGTTTCTTCAAGAAGTAAAAGTATTTTTCAGTTAGGACTAGTACAAAGTATATCACATGAATCATCTACAAATAGTGAAACATTAATTGCAATTGAACAAGTAAACAAGACGTCACTGTCAACAGTTACAAATGAAGTAGACACAGAAGCTAACAAGAAGGTACGATCAAATAATGTTTTTTTATGTGATAATCAATTGCAAATTTATAACGATGATTGACAGAGTATGGAGGTAGAAGTTATTTCCACGTGGGCAGACAACAATGTGAATGAAAAAGAAATGACAACTACCACTATAACTCTACTTGAAATGACAGAAACGTCAATGGACCTGGAGCAGCTACAACAACTAACCAGTACTGCAAACCTTAATGAAATTATACCAGATGAGAATACTATTATTTTGGAGTTTAAGGATGATTTAGATATTAGCCATGATGATAAATTGTTAGATTTTAATAGAATAGTTGGTACCAGTCCAAGCGAACCAACTTTTTTGCACAATAATGGCTTAAATCCATCTTTATTGCCAAAAGACGGTAATAGCAATTTTGTTGAACCATTAGAAAGTACTACAACTGTTGAAGGTATGCAACGTAAGAGGAAAAAGAGAGAATTTACAGCTGTTGAACGTAGAAAGCTAAAATTAGAGAAAGATCAGAAATCTCATACCGTTCAGCCTCCTTGTAATAAATGTAAATTTATCTTGGAATATTGAAGATTTAGAAGAACGAAGGAGCTTTATTTTTATTCAATGCGAAAGACGTGATGCTAAAAAGCGAACTACTAACAGTGGAAAGATTAGTAGAAAAAAACAGTAACATATTCAAATGGTCAAAAGGAAAAGGTTTGTAGAACATTTTTTCTAACCACCTTAGGTTTTAACAAAAAAAAATCATAAATTTCTTACCACAATCTGTTTTACAGATAAGAAAGCAATAACACCCAAAAACAGCATGAGAGGCAGACAACCGTCAGTGAATAAGGGTCCTCACCAAGCTATAATCGATCACATTAAGACTTTCCATCCTGAAGTACCATTTACACAACCATAATATGGATAATTTGTTTGAAGACTGTGATGTTTGTAATAATTGGAAAATCCGTGACAAACTAGTCAAAGAGAGTAGGACATTATACAAAGAATTTGCAGAGAAAGTTAACGAAACTAACAAAAGCAATGAAGTTATATTTAGTGCAGATTTGGAAAAGATAATTGACTTGAAATGTTCAAGCAAATCATCTTTGTATCACGCCTCACAACATACAAATAGACATTTGCCCCTGTAGGGAAAAAGTCAAAGCTTAAACCACTACCATTTCTGTGGCACTAAACCTATCAACAGATATTGTGCCAGATATTGCTATATCTGGCACAAAACAAGAAGATATTGCAAGTACTTTTAATGTTTTTTTATCAGCCATTACCGTGATATTAAAAAGTTTGTGTTGTGGTTAGACAATTGTAGTACACAGAATAAAAATTGGTGTTTATTAACATTGTTTATTAAAATAGTAAACTCAATTGCAGTTGAAGCTACTGAAATTCAAGTTTACTACTTCGAGCCTGGGCACACCTTAATGAGTGCTGATAGTTTTCATCACCAGGTGGAACTGTCACTAAAAGCACAGAAAAAAACGTACGATTTTGATGATTTTGTTGATGCTATAGAGGCTGCCAATAAAGGGCATGTTGATGTATTTAAAATGAGCGTTGATAACTTTTTTGTGTGAAAAAATTGGAAGTCTGAAACGAAAATGAAAGCCAAGCCAGACAGACCTAATCTCAAAGGTATTGTTCATATGAAGTTTGAAAGGAGTAAACACACCTTACAGTATAGAAGTACGTATGACAAATCAGAAAACTTCAAGGAACTTGATTTCTAGCAACCAAAGATTTTGAAGACACCAGAACCTACCAAACTAGTCTTACCTAAAAAATTATCAAGGGAAATGAAAGACAAATTACTTCAAGTGCTACAAAATAATATTCCAGAAATTAGAAAAGTATTCTGGGAGAGACTACCTACATGCTAAAGACAATTTTTTGAGAATTTTAAATTTTTTTAGACCTGTAGCCTTAACTAGCTAATAAAATCTTGTTAAAAAAAGTGTAGTTACTGCTTTTGTTAATTTTACATTGCTAAGGAAAAGAGGAGTAACTTATAAATAGTGCCTTTTTGTTTGGCATTTATTAGTTCAAAAAATAAATAAGTGATATTTCTTATTAAAAACTGATTTATTATAGTGATTTTATTCTTATAAATCAAAGCTAGTATTACATAAGACAATACAACAAAACTATATAAGTCAAATAATCCATTTTTAAGTATAATAATCCAATTTGAAGCTTTACTTCTATTTATCTTAAAACAGATGTTTTGTAGATACTGCCATTCTTCTTAGCAGCGCAGTACTATTTTAAATGTTTCTATTTTAAAATGTAGATCACATATCTCAATTTCCATGACTTAAAAACATATAAAATTAAACTATTCAAATAATGTCCGTTCTATATATAAAAAAAAAACAATAATCTGTTTTAATTTTTTAAACATTTGTCTTCTGGAAAAAAAAATATTATTTTGTACTGAAGTTAAAAGTTTTACATTAAAAAATTCTTATAAACACTCATTTAAAACACCTAATTAATTTTCAGTAACAAGCACAGAAATGTCCTAACAATTTTCTTATTAATTGTTATAATCTTATAAAGTGTGGACATATGAAAACACTGATTATGACATATAAACGTGCTGTTATTTTAATCGGATAAATACGATCACACACTTTTTAATCTTTCTACACAAAAATAAACCTAATGACTTACTTGTCTATCGACACTGGTACCAAAAATGACTTGAGTCTGATCTTGCGTCGCATAATTCTGCAACCCTTCTCTCTTGGGTTCGTGCACTGGGCGAGTGGTCTGCTGACGCACATATTGGGGCTGAACCTGCACGTACCCCGGTGCCTCTGGCTGCTTGTACTGCACTTGGGGTAACACTTGAGCACTAAGATACTGATTAGTCTGGTACGCTGGCTGTGATACCGGTTCGGGTAAACAATACACACTCGGCACCCAGATAAATAGAAAGTATTTGAAGCAGTTTTTCATTTTTTTTGTTGCGCTGTTGGGTACAGTAAAAGTACGGAAAGCGAGGTATTGTCTATATATAGTTCTCCTCCTATTTTACTTTCGATTTACCGATGAACATACACCAATTATAGGGTCAGTGTATTGGCGACGTCGTGAAATTTTCTACCTACGAGGTATTGGTAAATAGTTGCATGAACTTGGATATTTTACAGCTATTAATTTGATGATCATTGCAATTATTGGTCAAGGATGAGTTGTATTTAAAAAAGAAATTAATATACGAAGAAAGTTTTTTAGTAGTTACGATTTTACGCTAACAATATGTTTTTGTCACTTTCGTAAAACTATTTTATGAGAGTATTAAAATTTTGTTCATATACAAGTAAAATATATTAACAAATATAATAACATGTATAAATAATTGGTTTTAGATAAATGGACATATTATATTTAATTATAGAGTCAGTTCTAAAGTTGTGCCAAAAACAAAAAGCACGTAATATAATATAATATAATATATATTTGGTATAATGAAAAGTTTGTAATGATATAATTTTATATTTTACTAAAAAAAATGGAAAAATTTGAATAATTCTAGCATAACAATACACACAAAACTAAGGCTAGTAAGGGCACTCATTTTTCCCATAGCCACATATGCAACCGAAACGTGAACCTTAAAGAAAGCGGAAAAAAATAAACTAGACGTTTTTAGACGCTAAATGATAGATTGCTTAAACCGATACAACAGGATGTCTTCAGTATTTTCGACACATTGCTGGAAGAACAGGTACGCCCTTCACCTTTACCGTCGGTGATAGTCAAGGGAAGTGTTGAA